CAGCAGCACTGAATTGATAAACTTATTTACTGCCAGTGTTTGTTTCTGATAAATGTTTAGAAAATCGGTCATGAGAGTTCATGCGAAAATCAGCACAGCTATTCTATTTGTTGGGTCGTGCCGGTCTCAGTCTCTTTGTTTGCAGTAGAAAAGGCATTTTCTGAGTTTGTAAATGGATCACAAAGACCTTTGTGCATCAGTAACAAATCAGAGTCAATTACATGAGTAAAACACATAGTACATCGGTTGCCAAGTTGTGAATATGTCTCCCCCGCTCTTACTGTCCATCCTTCAGGTCTGACTCCAGACACACCATCTGTGTTAGCTCCTCTGTGTCCTCAGGATCTGAGTCTGTAAACTCACCACGCACTGAACAGACCATTTCCAAAATTGTTAATGCAACTCCACACATTCACCCGAGCTCCTCAGCACAGATCATCAACTTACTTCAACTTGATTTACTTGGAAAATGGCCATCAAACTCTCAAACTGCTCTGTTAACTCGAGAAACAACAGAAGTAGAAACAGATGACTTACATGGTTTTGTCCCAGACATGTCTCTCACCCGAGTGAAATGCTACAGAGATACACAAAAATGCTCCAAAGACATGAACTCAGTCAGATCCAAGCATTTAAAGCTGCAGCCTGAGGTCAGTTGGTTTTCCTCTGAACGGGTGAATTTTTGGAGACTGTTTCCTCAACCAGCGGTCCATCCCCAGCCCTCATCCTTGAGTCCTCAAAGCTGTAAAATGCACACAATTTGGGAAAGATAAGATCATCAAAAGTTACTTTTGTGACTCCAGTCAATGAACCGTTTTGATAAGAGCGACTGCTCTCTGTTATTGTTCCACAAAAAGGGAATGGTGGTCTTTTGTTGGTCATAGCCGGCAAAGAGAACGGCTGACAAGGCTGAACGCTGAATGAACAGGCGACAAAGCACCACGTACAAAACCAGAGGCTGCTGGTATCAGTCAGACACCAGTTCAAAATTCTACTGAAAAATCTTTATTCATGGACTACGTTTTAAAAATGTACATGTACGAGTTTTTATGTTTGAATTTCATGATTTCTTCTTGAATGAATGAATCATTTTGACAACAAACTCCATTTCCATTCCTCCGCTACCATCAGCTACAAAGACAATTGTTGACAGACACGGAAACCTCCACGTCCTTGAGGGGTCTGCGTGGCCTAAAGTCCTGCTCACAAAGGAATGCATTAAGTCTGATACCGTTATTGCACTTAAACGCAAATGGCTGTTTTTAACATGAAGTTTTAACATTCCTTTAGTTAAACTCTTTGAGTTGAAATGAATGATCTCATGTCGTGGGTTTACCATTTTAACTTGGACCAACAGAGAAGCTGAATGCTTTTTCATCACAGACGGTGCACTTTTAAAAAAAAAACAGGCATACAGTTAATTTTAACTGTTTAGATTTCAAAAGTCAGTGTAATCTCTACCGCATGGTGGCATGCTTCCTATTTACCCCCCTTATACTGTATGTGTGAAAGGCATATAATGGCAGGACCAGTGAATGAAACATTCACTGTTTATCCTTTTTATAAATATTAAGCCTTGATGTGTGTGACACTTAAATGTTTGAGAGGCCGCATCTTAAAAAACTTGTTCAAAGATTGGACATAGTTTCATGAGGTTTACTAAGTTCCATTGAAACTGCACACAAAAAAAAGAGCTTATAACAATCATGATCTGCTTCGATATTTCTGATTTAGACTCCGTATGTATTCTCATTTCCATAGTTAAATTCGACATAAATCATGAGACCGACACATGACACAAAATTAATTTTACAAGCATTACCACTGAATCACTTGAATTTTTTGTGTTTTTCTTAGATTCTTTTGGCAATTCAAACAATAATCTGCCAATCTGACATTAATAAAGTTATAGCTGGCAAAAAAGGGCATCAAGGTATTCTATAATTATCACAGCATTGGTGTCCAAACTTATTTTCACGGGAAATATAGAAAATAGGAAAACATGCAGCGAAGGCAAAAAAGTTTACAGTCACAAAGCATATTTGCTATATCATGATCTTCTTCTTCTTGAACAAAGTGACCAGTGTGGGAGCTTTGCAGTTTTTGCTGGTTTGGATTTCTTCTTGTAAGCATGGCAGGTGAATCTTCTCCGTCTTTACCTCTGTCTCGTTGTAGGGACACGCTTTTAGATGCTCCGATATGTGGGACACATTTCTGAAGCACCAAGTGTCCACAGGGGAGAACAAAGTGCTGAACTGCCAGACCTGCAGCCACAAAGAGATTTAGAACATTCCAGATTTTACAGATGAGTCTGTGAGTCTTCTTAAAGACTCATGAACTCTTCTGGCTAGCGGCTTACCGTTTGCTTCACCCTCCATGTCACTCTTCCCTGTGAGGAGGTCTTCCTCTCCCAGCAAAGGCTGACCATCCCTCTGTCCTGCAGCAGAGAGGAGCACACCTGCCTCATGAGGTGGGACACCAGGGCCAGCTGGGACAGGGACAGGCTGTCCAGGAAGCTGGCCACGTGGCACAGCACCTCGTAGGGCAGAGAGCTCAGAGAGTCCTCCTTTTCCTGACTCCACCTCTTCTTTTCGGTGTCGAGGTCTACCGTGCTCTCTGAGGTTTTGCCCAGAGAGGAAGGGGTGGTGGGATGCAGAGTAAAGCAGCCCAGCTCCCCACTGAAAGCAAAGGTTAAGCTATCAACACTGAATAAGTTGAAATTTACATAATCATTTTATTTTGAGGTCTGCTTTGCCTATAAATGATAAAGAATGATCTGGCTCTAATTTGCTAAAAATTAAGTTTCTTTGTTTTGTTTTGTTTTGTTTTTTAGTCCCGATAGTTTTTGTTCAATTTTGGACCCTTTTTATTGAGGGTGTGCCTTGTCTTACTTATATCTTATCAAATAACCTATTTTTAACCTGTTATGCGTAGAGCATTCAAGACTGGTTCCACATTATCATCATTTACAGCATCCCGACTTCATCAGAAATTGTGAGATGGAGTTTTAGTTCATAATTGCATCTTGCGTTCATTTTCTTACTTGTAGTTGATGGTGGCTTCGTGTGTCGAGGGCCGAAACCTCCTCTGGCTGTAGGTGCATCCCAAATAAGCCAGCGGGCACCTCTGCTCAAACCAGCCGTTCACACACATTTGAATCTCACTGTGGCTGTTCCTGTATTTACAGAGGCCATTTTAAGATAACTTTTATGTTAAAAAAGTGCTGTTTTGGGAAAGAGCAGGAATTGTTTAAAGTCACATAATCTCTCCATTTTAGAAGAGAAAATTAATATTATGACCAATGACATGTAAAAGAGCAATAACTTCTCGTGCTGGAAGTTAATTTTAGACGTAAAACTTACAAAGACACAACTCACTTATAATGGTTGCAATATTCTGTGCGCCGGAAGGTGTGTCCGCAGACGAAGGTGAAGGCGGAGTTGGCCTTGTGGTGCCGGCTGGTGACGCTCTCCACCTGCAGCTGCAGGTGCAGCTCCAGAGGCTTTCTGGCCGTCAGGTCCGCCAGCGACATGTTCCTCTGGAAAGGAGCGGACTGGAAGTTGTAGGTCTGCGTGCCTTCGTCTGTCAGCAGGCTGTCTGTACTTGTGCTCTCAGCAATGAGGTGACCCCTCAGCTCCTGCTCCAGGGAACACAGCAGGGACGCCTGAGAGAAAAATCAAACACACCATTTTACAATTACAATTTCTGTGTAATGAGAAAAATCTACTTGTACATCACTGTCTGATTTGAGGGGTTTGAATATATATTTTTGCTTGGATGTCAGCTGCTTGTTAAGGCTTGTAAACAGAACATCAGCAGAAGGGTATTTCAAGTGAAAATATGCCTGATTTTGGATTTGGGAATATTTTCCAAGTACAACAAACGATTAGAAACTATGGCAAAGTGAGCATTTTGTTATTTTTAAAGAATCTTTTTTAACTTAAAGAGGATGTTGGCTTCTGGCTGTTGAACATGTGTCTCACCTGGACTTCCTCCCACACAGGCATGTCCTCTAGCGCCACCCCCAGGTCGCTGGTGTCCACGGCCTGGTTCACCCTCTTGTAGAAACTGGGGTTGCGAATGCGGCCCAGCCTGGCTGTGAAGCTGGTTGGGATTTTAAAGGTGCGCACGGTGATGATCTTCATCGGTTCCACGTGTCCGTACACAAAGGCTTTCTGTCCACTTTTCCCCGCCACGGACGCGAGGGACGGTGTGCCATTGAGGGATGCTGCCGCACCTGCACATGCACACGCTGCGTCTTCCTCTGCCAGAGTGGCCAGGCCTGTCCCCCGGCCTTTGGCCTGTCCCCTGCCCGCGGCCGCTGACCCTTCGGTCTCTCTGCATCCGCCCATCTCCATGCTGAACATGCGCTCCCAGGCGCTGTAGTTCTGCAGAACGTCGGCGCCCACTGATGCCCTGGCCAGAGCCTCCCGCTCCTCCTGGGTCAACTCCAGCTCGGGTTCCACGTCAGCTTCCTCCTCCTCCCTAGCCTCTTCTGGACAAGGGAGATTACCATTAAATATGTTAAAAGACTCCCAGCTGCTGTCTCTGAGCTCCTTTGCGGTTGCCCTCTCTGCCGCCTCCTTCTCCAACATGGCCTTTTTCTTTCTCTCCATTTCCTTTCTCCTCTCCTCCTCCCTCCTTCTTTCCTCCCTCTCCTCTTCCTCCACACTTTTCACCAGCTCCGGGAAGAGCTTCTTCATCTTCATGGCGTGAAACAGTTGGTCCTGGTCCTTCAGGGCGAGAGCCAGATCCAGGCACTCGTCCTGCTCGCGTTCTCTGATCAGGTTTTCATGAAGCTCTGTGTTCTGGTGGGAATGGCAATCATTGGTCGGCCAGCGGTTCCACTCCACGGAACAGCACACCAAACTGGCCGGACACACCTGGAGGTGAGCGGCTCTAGAGGAACGGGTCATCTGAAGCGGGCAGCCGTACTCAGCGTTGAGGCAGGGTACCCTCACGTTGGGGCAGAGCAGCAGGTGATCCTCCTCTTTGCACAGGTGGAACACGGCCCCACAGAGGAGACGGCAGGGGGAGACCGGACAGCACACCGAAACCTCCACCCGAGCCCTGCAGCGCCGGCTGTAGCAGGAATCACAGTGGACGTGCTGTCGCACCCGGGAGGCTCGAGAGCGCTGACTCTGAAA